GAACCCAGGGCCTCATGCATGCAAGGCAAGCACTCTACCACTGAGCCACCTTCCCAGCCCCAGAGGTTAATATTTTTTCTTTGGTTAAACAAAGAAAAATAGGTTCATTTTAAGCTCCAAATAACCATCCACTCTCTTTTTGATGTTTCTAGGACTTTGAATGTGCATGTAGGATAAGGATGAACTCATGCTAAACTCTGATTCTACATAATATCAGTTGTGTGCAGTGTACTTATCCCCAGTGAAAACATTTGCATATGTTTTATAGTCTATAAACTTCCAGGGAACAAAACAATTTCTTGTTCACAACTGTATTTTCAACATTTACTATCAGTTTGTCATATAGTAAGTACTCAACAAATATTTGAATAAGCAGGTTCATTTTTCAATTTGAATATGTGTCTTCTATTTCTGTGTATGTGTGTTTCCTTTGTTATAAAGTAGAAATAATAAATCAGTGAAGGCTGTTTAGCAAAGTGCAGCCACATGCCAGATCTCAGAAAAAAAAGTTAGATTCCTGGAGAGACCTAAAATAACCACTTATTCCCATTTTTCTTGTTATGCTTTTTGTGTTCTCTCTCTCTCTGTAATATTTTTTGGCTTTGCTTAGCTATTTCTTTCCATGACAGCAGGTAGAACTTGTCTAATGAGTTTTCACATAGTTCTTCTGTTTGAAACATTTCATGGTTACCACTAAGTCAATATTTGTTGAATAAATAATCAACCATGGTAATGTACAAAGAATAAAGTGCAGTGCTCCAAAGTATTTGTACTAACTAGTTCAAATTATTGCCTCTTACTTGAATAGGATGAGAAAACTGGTATGATGGTTCATATCAACTTTAAAATACTATTTGTATTGAAAAAAAGAATCAGGGCATTTCTGTTCTAGAAAATACTTTCCAACTTTTATCCAAGTGGTCAAATGATATAGGCAGTTAAAGTGATTATCAATTAAAAACTAGGTTTTTAAAGAAATTATGTTGAAGTTATTCATTAGAATTCAGTGTAGCTTGAAAAAAATCTGGACCTCGTTGGCTAAAATACTAGCTACTTGGGAGGTAAAGATTGGGAGCATCATAGTTTGAGGCAGCTCAGGCCAAAAAAAAAGAAAGAAAGAAAAGAAAAGTTCACTAGACCTTATCTTTTACTAAAAAGCTGGGCAAAGTGATAATGTACCTATCCCAGCTACCCAAGAAGCATAAATAGTAGAATCACTTTCTTTTTTTTTGTCAGCCGTGGGGCCTGAATTCTGGGCCAGGGCACTGTCCCTCAGCTCTTCTGCTCAAGGCTAGTGCTCTACCACTTGAGCCACAGCACCACTTCCGGCTTTTTTGTTTTTGCTTATGTGGTGCTGAGGAATCAAACCCAGGGCCTCAGGCATGCAAGGCAAGCGCTCTACCACTGAGCCACCTCCCCAGCCCTAGGATCACTTTCTAAGCTAGCTTGCACATAAATTCAAGATCCTATTCAAAAATATAACATAAAAATTGGCTTAAGGTATGAGTTAAGTGGTAAAGTACCTATTATGTAAGTGCAAATCCCTGAGGCTGAAACATCAGCACTACCAAAAAAATTAAAAATCCTAAACACACACATGCACACACCCACACACAACCAGAATGAAGAACTCAGTGTACTGATAGAGTGAATACCTGTTGTGTAAAATATTACAGATATAAGAATTTATTATATTTGTTTGAGTGCATATAAAACAGCTCTGAAACGTTGCAGAGAGCCAGGCACTGGTGACTTATGCTTGTAATCCTAGGTACTCAGAAGGCTGAGATCTGAGGATTATGATTCAAAGCCAGCCCTGGCAGGAAAGTCCGTGAGACTCATCTCCAACTAAGCACAAATAAAAGCTGAAAGTGGCACTGTGGCTCAAATGGTAGAGCATAATCCTTGAGCAAAAGAAGCTCACAGATAGATCCTAAGCCCTGAACTCAAATTCTAGGACTGTCACTCTCCCCCCCACCTCCCCATGGCTTTGGACTGAGATCCTCAGTCTCAACTTCCTGATTATCTAAGATTATAAATATGAGCCACCAACATCCTTCTAAAAAACCAGATAAATTCTTACTTTACAGTAAGCAGAAATTTTATAAAAGCTTTCCTGTGAATGAAACATAGGACCAAAAAAATCACTGCTCTAATGAATTCCTATTGAGCTGAAGTAAAATCATTCAAATAGACATCCAAAAACCAGAGTTCTAGTACTAGCTCTTCTAGTACAAACTAAAGCCAGTTGGTGTCCTCTTTGGTGTCATTTTCTTTGCAGGTAGAAAATAAAGATGCTCAAACTGGATGGTCTCAGAGGACTCAAGATCACTGACTTGTGAAGTTCTCTCACAAAGAAGTAGGAGGTTCAGAACAAGTATCTAGATTCCCAATACATTCAGTACAATATCATGATGCCCAAATCCCAGGTCATTTAGGGTAAAACTTAGTTGATATCTGATATTATGCATTGTTTGGGCATTTCATCAACACAGAAACACCTCCACATAGCTAGTCTGTCTTATGTACTACACAACTCAAATTATAGTTAAATGTATGATTTAATGATTATGAGAGTAGTGCATGTTTCATTGTAGGAAAATTATAAAAAGTATGTTGAGGAGAACCTTAAATACTCATATACTGTATTTTATTAGCCTCAACCAAGTAAATGATATTGTGATCAAATGATTTCCCACAGACAGAAGCAGGGAGGGCTAGGTGACCCAGGGGCCCTCACCCACATAAAGATTAAAACCCTATATTACACCTACAAGCCTGAACTTGGTTCTAGTGTGGGTTCCTATTGGGAGCATGGGAACTGCAACCTACAACCTAAGCAGACTAACAGTGCTTTCATACCTAATTGGCGCTGAGAACTCCCCAGTTTGTTCATTTATAGATTATCCATTGTGAAAAAACTCCTTATTAGCATTTCTACACTACTTTTGAAATCTAAAAATGAAATTTATTAGAACAGAAAGTTCTAGCCCTTTGCAAAAGAGATTAATTTGGTGACTCAGATTTGTTTGTTGGTATTTTAATTCAGAGTCTCATAGATGTTAAGCAGTTGCTCTAACAGCCTCTTTTTTTAATGTCCTCTATTCTTTAACCTCCATTCTCCTCTGATTTAGTTATTTTTGCCCAGGGATAGCCTCAGACTGCCACTGTAGATTCCAGTATGTGATCCTTTTACCTGCAGCCTCCTGTTCACGCCACAATTCCCAGCTCATTAACCAAGATGAGATGAGGTCTTTGTGTGTGTGTGTGAGAGAGAGAGAGAGAGAGAGAGAGAGAGAGACATAGAGAGAGAGACAGAGACACAGAGAGAGACAGAGAGACAGAGACAGAGAAAGAGAAAGAAAAAGAGAAAGAGAGAGAGGAAGAGGAAGAGAGAGCACCAGAACCTGGATGCTATCCCTTAGCTTTTTTGCTCAAGGCTAGCTTGAGCCACAGCTGCACTTGTGAGTGCAGGTCTTTCTAACTTCTTGTCTAAAACCACTGTCCTCTCTATCTCTGCCTCTGAGTAGCTGAGATTACAGTATAATTATAGTGAGTTATTATGCCCAACCCAGATCTTTATATCTTTAGAAACACATATGAGGTGATAATACACAGAAGTCAAGAGAATGGGATGGGTTCAGAGCTCTGAGTTGAAACCCAACCAATACCTCTTACTAGTCATTTTTTCAAATAAATAAATAAAACAATACTCATTTAACAGGATTACTCTGAGAATGTAATGACAAAGAGTAAAGAGTATCTAAAACACCAAGCATAGTATTTAGAACACTGGGAGTGCTCCAAAATGGTGTTATGACAATTATGATTAATAATAAAAAACTTGTCAGTTTGGATTATTGCTACTTTGGGGATAGAAACAAATACATGAGGGGCTAGGAATGTGGTTTAGAGATAAGAGTGCTTGCCTTGCATGAATGAAGCCCTGGGTTTGATTCCTCAGTACCATACAAACAGAAAACACCAGAAGTGGTGCTGTGGTTCAAGTGGTAGAATTCTAGCCTTGAGTAGAAGCTCAGGGACAGAGACCCTGAGTTCAAGTGCCAGGACTGGCAAAAAAAAAAGGAAAGAAACAAATATATGACATTTTTGTTTGTCTTTTAGATGGATTCATTCCCATGGAAATCCTGAGTGTTAAAATATTCAATGAGACTAACTGATGTTAGTTCTTGTCACCATGGAGATGTTACTTCGTGTCAAGTGTTTTCAGCGCCTAGCAATTCCTGGATCTGTGAGGTGTTTGCATAAAGATTATAGAAAAGTAACTCCTCAAAATTTCTCTGACTATGAGTCCATGAAACAGGACTTCAAATTAGAGATTCCAGAATATTTCAACTTTGCTAAAGATGTCCTGGACCAGTGGACCAATATAGAAAAGGTATGGGACAAGGTAGAGACAGTCAACTACAGTTTCTCACCTGGGAATGATTTTGTCTCTTGAGAATATTTAGCATCATCTAGAAACACTTTTGTTTCCATGAGTGGGTAAGCAATTGGGGTGAATAGATGCTACTGGAACCTAAGATAGAGCTAAAGGATGTTGCTAAAAAACTAACATTATGTGGGGCTGGGAAGGTGGCTCAGTGGTAGAGCGCTTGCCTTGCATGCATGAGGCCCTGGGTTCGATTCCTCAGCACCACATAAGCAAAAAGAAAAAAGCC